GTCACCATTTGCTTATTGTTCCGATAGGAACTGATTGTAAATTATGCAGAAAATAAAAATAAAAAAATAAAAAAATTGGCATAAAATAAGAAAATATTTTCTACTCCCAATGTTAAACATCGTATTGCATGTCTGCAACTCGTTGTACAATAATACTCTTTATGTTTTAGTCTCGTACAGATGTTTAAAGACTACAGAAAAATTTACAAACCAAACATTGAAAAGTAATCGTTGATAATAAAAGTGATTTTATTTTGCTCATAAGGCTGTCTATCGTCTTCGTGACGCAACCTCCTACTCGCGAAACAAATGGAAACTTTTAACACACGCACCACAATATATTCTGGACTGGTGAATGAATTATTCCCATGTATACACATGTTTAATACTTTATAAATACCGATCTTGAATTAGCAATTAACATGCTTATACATTTGGGAATATTTTCTTCGGCACGAGAGCGCATACACGGGGAAAATAACTTATGTTGATTAAGTTTTGTAATCTGAACGACAAAGGTTGTATGAATACTTAAGAAATTGATTTCTTGATGATAGACCATCGAGAGTCACAAAAGTAACTTCTTTTATTGTTTCAAATAAAACAGTCGTTTATCTCATTTCACAACCTCACAGCCATAAATTCAACTCCTGAACATTCAAAAGGGAGATCAAGAGAATTTTTTTCCAGCTAAAACTAACTTCGTTCACGAGAAGTCTTACCCAACAAGTGACAAGTAATAGAGCTGTGAAGCATTAAGGACTTCCAAGAGTATTGTGTAACCTTCAACTAGTGGGAAGTCCATTGAACTGGCGCAAGAGAACCTTCCATGTGTTACATGAACAGGTTTTCCCCTCACTGCTAGGACTTTCCCGTTACAATGTAGAGCGAATATAGATTTATTCGGCAAAGAAAATGAAACACTTCAGAAAATGTTCGTTACACGTAAAACTGTCGTTTCTTCAAGTTCTAAAATTTCAATACATTCAATGCATAACGTGGTATAACTGAAGTAAATGTAGTACATCTCAAGGTGTGTAACATCTTAATTTCACGCATTTTGTTTTCTAAGTAAGTGGGCATTATAGTAATTAACTAAACGAGTGGATAAAGAGGGGCATAATTGCATGAGTGGTAAGTTCAAGAAAACTAGTCGCGATAGGAGCAAGTTCTCTTATTTACCACGAGTGAAATTATTTCCCTTTATTCACATGTTATGTTCACCATTTTTCTGTTTGATATACGAATAACGTAACTTTTGAGAAACTCAAGCACATCTTTACCTATTGAAGCATATGCCCTACATTTGATTACGTCGTATTTCTACTGAAAAATATCTATTTTATTGGGTCTAGAATTTTGTTTGTTGGCAAGTAATATTCGTAAATGGAAGATACTAAACATACTGCGGAAATATTATAATAAGCTGACAATGTCTTGAAAACATCATTTCCCACGAAAAGTAAAGACAGATATGTGAGAAAATACATGTATAAATATTGGGAAGAGAAAAAACTAGTTATTTCTGGCGCATTTTTGATAGTGTACTCTTTAGAACGGGTAAACATAACTGACGCTTACAGCTACTCGAGAAACCTATGAAATGACAACATATAATATGAAAAAAATGTTATATTGGTTTTAATTAATAGCATTTTTGACCTCTAGGACTGTTAAAATGGATTTCTGACAGCAAATTCGAGCGATCCCCAAAACGTAAGTATAGCAAGTTTCATCATTTTACAAAGAAATTTCTAAACGCTATGTTCGAAAGCTTATTATGTCACAAAAGTCCATGTAAAATCCGTGTTAAATTTCAACTGCTTGCCGGCGCGGGGTATTTTGCCTGAAAAAAAAACCTAAAAAACTTTCAGGTTTCATTTTCTTGACATTCTAAACCAATTTCCGAGTGGATGTCGATAAAATTCCACCTTTTTCAAAGTAATGGCCACCCCCATGTATATCCTAATAAGTCGAGTAACCTGCGTCCAAACGTCCACCACTATGTCCGTCCGCCTCTGAGGGTGAGACCCATTCCGGTCCACCAGACGAGACAAAGGAAGAGTCATTCGGCGCGCATTCTTGTGGGGAACGAATTATTTTTCTTTGCGAAACCATCCAGAATATTCTAATAAATGACCCTGAAAAATAATTTAATTTTTTAACAAACTATAACAATTTAGATAACTTGCAGCCCCTAGAGGTGATTCATGCTCATTCGAATACTCTCAAAACAAAACAATTGGCACAATCCTTAGTCTTTCCTCTTTAGAATATTCTAGAAGAATTGTTAAAAAAAACTCGTGTTCTTGTGGTTTCAATACACCTACGAGTGTATTGATGACACGCTGTGAACTACTATACTCTTTTCCACATTTACATTAATTGTTACCACTTGATTTGCCAGATATGAATTAATAGCTGCCAATAATTAAAAGCTGTCATTTTGTATGTGTTTTTTCTATTTGTCAGATAAATGATAATTACATTTTTGTAAAGAAATCAACATCTACAAGTATTTGATATGATACATTTTCATAAAACTTTCTATGCCCAAAAATGGATGAGCCAAATTTATTTTTATTGTGAACTTGCAAAGAGCAAATAAAACTTTTGAACATGAAATACTCAACGAACGCGCTAAGGTAAGATACTGTAATGTATTTTATATAATTAAATACATTTAATGAATCCACTCAAAGAAAAGAGGTGAACTTCTGAATTAACACAAAAATTGCGATAAACTATTACACACTGTTGGACAGAGGTAAGCAAATAGAGAAGGTATTAATCAAAACCTACTAATCACGTATTTTCAGGGGTGTCTGCCTATGGAACGAACTTTGTGGCTGAGAGTTGCGAATGGAAAGGAGCGACGTTGGCAGGTTGCGTACCACTGAGCATATTTCCCTTGGATACGGAAATAAACACTTGAAACAAATACTTGTAAAAGTAGCCAAATTATACTCATATGGTATAAAGCAAGAGCTTCAGAAGAACAACTGTCAATCCCTAACTTATTTTAATTGGACTGTAGGGGAGGAGCGAGGTCTAATTCAGGCGGCGGGCGAGGGTAACCTCTTAGCCCGCGGGCAAAGCGGCGGCAGACGCGCGGGTATCGGCGACGAGAGAGAAAAAGACGCGAGGGGTCGCGGCGGTAGGCCTGTCAGACGCTTCACAGAGGCAACGACCGCTACACACAACTGAAAAATTAGCAATACGATCTTTCACTCGCACGTAGTTTAACCCATCGCGAGAAGAGTTACACAGGAAATCCTCCTTAACACGAATTCCCAGGGACCGAAATAATCGGTGTTCCAGTAATCCGATTATATATAATGAGTAACATACACATACGTATTACTATGATTTCTTGATGGGTTCCAAACTTTGTTTGTCCTACGACAAAATTCAAGTTAAGCGAGTACGTGATACTGAAGATTAACTGAAATTTCATGAATGACCCTTTCTTTATACTGCATGAGTCACTAACATTAAGCTGATGACGTTAAAAAAGCGAGAAATTGTTTCATAAATTTGACAATGCTGGAGGTGGAATTTTGTAAATTTGGTACTCCATTTTCAGTAGAAACTGATACATTACCAGTATATATTCAATTAGATTTTATTGGCTTCAGGTGAATAGCTGAAAGGTCGCTTCAATTGTGCAACGCATTTTTTCATTTTTTTATATAAATTTTCTTTGTCCACAGATTCTACATCTATTCATATCTTCTGCGTTTGCGAACAACTTTTTTTGTCAGTGAAGAGCATAAAATCAATCCACAGAATTGGTATGTGATCAAAATTTGAATGTTCTCTTTTTCTCAATTTTCGAATTTTCTTCATATGAGCTAATGAAATTTGTCATAAATATTTTATTTTCTATTAATGACATATTATCATTACAAATTCATTTAATACCTATTTGTACGATTTCTCTATGTTTGTAAATATACACGCGTGTGATTATTGTATTAGGTTTTTAATGTAATGAATCGAATGAAAAGTGTTAAATGAACAGTTTATTAATGAACTGTAGCTTTCCAGTGCCAAACCGCGCAAGTCTGGTTCAACTGCAAGTGTTACTTTATGAGCCTCCCACCTCTTTCCAAGTCCTGTCCTTCCAACATATTTTAGGCCTTGCCCTGCAAGGGGATGTATGGCTATAATCTGTTGTGGCTTGGTGCAAGAAGGGACAATGTCAGTTTTTAGTGATTTTCGGTTTGTATGGACTGTGTGCTTTATAGTCCCTTCTTTCAATGCAAGAAATATTAAAGTTAAACGTCGATCACATATGAAGTAATTATCCTGAATTAATGATGAAATACTAATTTCACATTGATTTACATTGGCTTACGGTTGTTTTGTCATTTCGGTAATGTAAGAATAACACCCATTCAGTAAACATTTCAATATTGACATTGACCCTTCCGTTACCAAGCCACATATATGTTTACAGTGAACTTAGTAAATATCCTAAGCATCAATGAAGCCAGTATGAATTTAAAAAATCTCCATGTTGGTTGCCCTACGCATTCAATGCATGCCTATATTCCTTATGTGTCCTTGTTGTTCTCTTATCGAGCTACCAGCGGCGTTTTTGCTCTCAAATTTCTTTGCCTGCCCTATGGAATTGTGTGTGCGAGTAGCCATTCACCCTGTGACAAGGGAACAATACGAGCGGGCCAAATTCGTGCATGCCCCTGACCTAGTTCAAAGTTAATTAACATTTTGGTTTGGATGTTTGGTATGCATATTTGGGTAAACATGTCGCTTTCAAGCATTGTGATATAAAGAAGTGAATAGAACTGCGAAAACTCCAGGAAAAAATATATTAATATAAAGTAAATTGTCATACACACATTCGTTGAATATGATTGTATCATATGTTACAGTTTTGTGTTGTCTTTGACATCACATATCACAAAGAACTCTCAAACATATAAATATTTTTTATATTTTATATTTAATAGAAACAGTAAATTGTTTTTTTTTCTTTGGATGAGAGAATAATAAAAGTTACCATTGTCAGACGGTAAAATTCTCTTGATATAAATTCTAGCTAAATCAACATTATTCCACTTCTGTTTTTGTCTTTTACTTACATAATGTATTTTGCTTTGGAACATCTTCCACAAGTTTCACTAAGTGTTTGAAACTCCAAAACGATCTTCTCGTTCCTCTTCCTCAGTTCCAAAATGTTCTTTTAAGACGTAATTGATACCCATTTGCCAACTTCCAATCAACGCACATACACACGCCGCACAGAGCCGTAAATAAACGTTTTAACTTGTTCACATGTCTCAAACACGCATGACGTCGGCATTGCCAGATATTTCAGTGAATCGTTTCACAGAATACTCCGGCTTAAGTGCCTTTGCACTGGAGCGACTTCAAGTCACGCCCTTCCAGAAGGCGTTCCGTGTCCTCGAAGCGGCCGTCTTCGCCGACGCTGGCAACCACTTTCGCAGAAAGGCCGACACGTTTTTACTACGTGGACTTAAGACCCGTGCAATATTTACACGCATTTCTCCGAACACCCGTTGCGCGGAGTATACATGCCTGACGGGCGCGAAATTGTATTCGCGGATGCTCACACAACGCTTATTGATTCTCCAGTCTAAAATATTTACGCCCGACCACTCAGCGCAAGGATAGAGCGGAGTGAAGTTCCAAAGTTCTTTGGATAGGGAATAATTCGTTCCTTCTGTCTCACACGTGCTCGTTTGTTCTGTCGAAGGAATAACAGGCTGCCGTTCGATCGCCCTAGGCGACAGCGGCGGTCGACACAAAAGCTTTTCACTTTCGACGTTTGACTCTCGCTGACCGCATCAACCCGATGGTTCACCTACAACAGTACCATTTGCTCCTCCGGAAAACGCCGACGATCGATTCTGTCGGGTACGTGGGCTGGTAGACTGTATCTGAGGAACTGTACTTTCCCTTCAAATTTTAGGGTTCAGATCTAGAGAGTGCGAACCAATATACAGATTGCGTGGGATTCTGTGGATCTTCAAACTATCTTCTCTGGCTCTAATTCTCGCACTGGAGTAGGTCCTTGAACCACCACTTTGGGGATCTTATGCGCTTGCTGAAACAGAACAAAACAGAACACGGAGAATAATATAATGATCGTATGATATAACAATAAATATAAATTAAAATCGTGATCTTAGAAAGTAGTAAGGTTTTTAGTCTTAAGAGAAAGGTTAGGGGAAAAAAGATGAAAGTAAGGATAAAAGAAAGCTGAAAGCAAATTCTGCATTTGAATGCCAATAATGTATTCGACATGTTTCATTTTATATTGATGCAAAATAGAACTCGTTTTGAAACCTGTACCTTCGGTCAACAACATATAGAGATGAAAGTTAACAAAATAATTAAAAAATAAATTTAGTTGTTTATCCTTTCATTTGCAATTCTTACTATGTTTTGATTTTGTGAAGTAACTACTAACATGTGTTATAGGCACCTACGTAATATATTATTTAACGCCCATAGTTACTTATCAAGTTTCTCGCAAACTCTTTGCTAACTGAATATAAACAAGAGAGCTTCCCAGTTAGGCGATGCTATCGGTGTTGATTATAAACTACGACATCAAAGTTTAAACAGAGTGCATGATATCAACACACGGATATTTGCTTTCATGTTTATTTTCAATCCAGCCCCATCTCGCACGTCACACAGTAGGAGTCTTTTCTAATGTTAGACTTTGTTGTAATCAATTGCGTATAGATATCATTAATCTTTCCGTCCATGAATCACTACATCCTTGTAAACATTGAGAATATTATTTTCACGTTAAGAGTTTGTGTTCATGACGCTACAGGGAACAAATTATCTCCTTACGTATAAAACTCCAACGTTACGATATGTGTTGAAATTGTCATTAAAGCTGCCGCCGTAGCCATTTTTTATATTATCGAATATGTCACTTTCGTGTTTCCTGAAGGCAGAGACAGAAAATAAAATAATAATGAGTCGTATGACCACGACATAACCCACAATGCAAAACACGTCGTTTGTTACACAGTGACTCTTGATGCTAACGAATGTTTAATACCCTGTTGCAGTAATTCATAATGTCTTTTATGCAGCGGCGCGCCGGTTCAAAACTTCCAGGCCGAACAACATCCGGGCCCGCCACCGAAAACAGCGCTGTTGGTTGGAGCCGACGCGAAAGGGTGACATCACCCCTCACTTATAAAAAAAAGACATTGAAATAGCGAAGCAGTGGAAGCGCTGCAAACACACCAAAGTGAACGAGTGAATGATATTAATGCGTGTTTACACTATGTAACAGAACTGCGAAGAAGTCAAGCTACATACGTTCTTGAAAGCGCTGCCCGAAAACAGCTAGACTGTACAGCCGAAATCATCAGCCATATAGCTGAGAAAGATAAATCTATCTGATGTCGGTAAATATCAGAGAAAACATAAGTATAGTCTGCTTTGAAACATGTAACATAAGCTCTGGAAAGTATCGCTGGTAACCAGAAATCATAAGCCACTCTTATTACTATGTCTCTTTGTATTGTTAGTTTAAATGTAGGCTTTCTCTCCTTAAGTAAAATTGCTTCTCTGAAACCAGCTCTGGTAATATATCTGCTAGTACACAACCTTCGTTTACTACTTTCAACCGGTTTATCTGCCTTTCAACTTGCTTCTATATGATTCTGGCTCGTGATCTAGAGTTCGTTTATCAGCGCATCATTCTTCACGTCAGTTTGTTTGAAGTTTCACCCCAAGTTCCATTGACCTTCTGTATAGCCTTCCCTTTGTTTACCCCTTACTGTCGTTTACCACTTCCGGGAACTGTCGTCGAGTTAAGTATGTTTTTATTGCTCAAGGATTCCCAAACTTATTCGATCTAGTACAACTCTCCCTTTCTAACAGAAAAAACAGTGTCATCATCTTCCAACAGTGCCATCGTAAAATATAACTTCAGACACACTTAAGACTATAGTGACAAATTTACGTTCACTATTTTAATTTCTCTTTCTAATAAGTCCTATCAAACAATGTTAACAGAGAACATCATAATATATTGTAATTTAGAATTGTCGGTAATTTTCTGAGTGCAAGAACAGAATAATAGCACTTTTTAACACTACTTTCAATGTCGAATTGAACATTTGTCATTTCTCAAAATTTCCTTTTCTTAAGCTGATACGAGGTCAATACTTCAATAACATTCCTTACTTTAATGTCTATTCTCTTCTCTATAGTGTAATCCAAGGATTATCGCTCGCTGTACGATGTTAAAATTATAATAATATTTCTTCCCTTCCCTTATTTTGTAAGTATCTTCGCATATTAAATTCCAATTTGAATTTGAATTTAATATGTTTATTAGTCTTGTATTTTTCCAAAACTAGGGAAGTTTTTAGAGACACATTTTTAAAATATTTGATGGCAAAAAACTTACAATTGTATATCTCGCAAATTTCATGACATATGATCTAAATATTTAATTTTTATTATTTTTTGTCCAAGGTATACATTATATCATCACAATTTTTCTCAAATGAGTGGTCAGATGACAAATTTATTAAGTGAATTACATTGAAAGTAGAGTCTTTCAGAAAGCCAACAGCTCTTAGCCACCTCGCTTAATAATTATTTGGATAATTCAGGAATTCTCAGTGAATAAAACTTCCTGCATCTTGATTCGATATCATGACAGTTTGACTAAACTCATACGCGTCATTATCATTCACCCTCTCCCATACAGTATTCAGGCCTTTGATTACTTTTGGTGTTTAGTTTTAGGCTGAAGTAAAATATGTGCCGTCTGTCCTTTAACCCTACCTCACCTTCATGCCCTCCGCTCACACATGCATATAAGTTGATGAGTCCTCGACGACGAGCCATACCTACCGCGTGGTGGTGCGTGTGGTGCGTGCCGTGGTGCTTGCCGTGGGTTGTGGGTGGTTGGTGGTGTTGGGTGGGCGGGGGTGGTGGCGAGGGGGGGGCCGTGACGGGGGCGGGGCGGGGCAGGGGGCCGGGGCTCACCGCGGCGGTCGCCTGCAGGAGTCGCTGCTTGGCGCGGGCGCGCGACGCCGAGTACAGCACCCACAGCAAGTAGAGCAGCATGATGAGCGCCGGCACCATGAAGCCGGCCAGCACGGCGTTCTGCCGCGTGCACGCGTGGTACAGCCCCATGACGGCCGCCACCAGCACCAGGCACACGGCCGCGTACTGCCCGTTGCGCCGGCGCTCCTCCTGCCGGGCACGCCACGCGGACCTGAACTCCCCGACAGAGATTATTTCGTGTTTCCGGGCGCGTCGCCGTCATTAGTCCCGTAAGCGTAGGGCATGCCTGCGTATCTGTCCCTTCCCCCTGATGCGTAATATCCGCCGCCGACCTGCGCGTCGGCTTGAGGCTCCTCCACCAGCGGGGAACCGCCCCACCCGCGACAAGCCCTGATCTGCCGACATGTCTGGTAGTGTAGTGCTTGTAATAAGGGCATAGAAGGGGAGAAGGATGTCGAAAGGCAATATGCATGCCATCTGTGACACATTTATTATTATTAGTATTATTATTTAGTATATTGCTCCGGCATTTGCCAGGTCTTGACCACGGAGGACCACGGAAAACTATCAATCAGAGTCGCCGATCACTGGGATTAAATTTATTCAAATCATTGATGAATTGAGAGACATGAATTAGTTAATGCTATTAACATTAGTAAAAGTGTCAATTAGTTAATTTTTGCTTCTATCACATCGGGTTAGCTTTGATTCCTACCTATCATGAATTATATTTTTAATAAGAGTAATCATAATGTCCGGCCCCTCACACACTACCTGTCTGTTTATTGAACAATCTATATTCTTTTTACTTTTGTACTTAACAACCTGCTCGAAACAGGAGGGAGAACCAAGAGACACTCGCGGACAGTGACACGATCACGGATTTCTAGAGCAGTAGGCCGGCCAGTAGGCAGTAGTGGTTGATTGTTAGTAATTCGGGCACGTCAACCACTAGGGTAGATGTAGTACCTGTTTTTGCTTGGAGGAGGAAGTGATCTTTCCCCAGCTGTATAGTGAGATCTAAGCTCCCGATCGGTCGCCCGGCAGTATATATTAGTGTAAGTGTACGTAAGGGGTAGGAATAGGACAAGGAAGAGGAAGGTGTGATCGCACGTGTTTCGTGGCCCGTTGGTAGAACACTGCTCCGGCATTCGCCTGGTGTTGATCGAAGAAACCACGGAAAATTACCTAGCAGAGCAGCCAGCCGCTATAATTCTCTTCTAGGCAGCGACTGAATTCAACCAGGTTCGAACCAAGGGCCTCCTGGTCAGAGGGACTGTCAGTTGATGCCCTGAGTCACCTCTCCCGGTGCCAGCGCTGGAGTTCGTTCCCACCCCCTGCCACGCGAGTCTTACCGAAGGTGTGAGTCCGGAGAGCATGGGCGGTCCCCCGTTCTCGGCGGCGGCGGGCGAGGCGGCTGCTGCCGGGGCGGTGGGCGTCGCCCCCGTCCCTGCCCCCGCCCCCGCCCCCGCCGCCGGCTTCACCGGCTCGGGGGCGGCGGCGACGGGGACACTGCGGGGCGCCGTCGCCGGGCGGTTGGGCACGGAGCGCCCGTTCACGGCGACTACGCTCGCATCGCCCGGGGACTTCTGCAAGAAAGCAGCAAGGCGTTCACAATCAACGGCGGAAAGGAAAACGACGATTTTCAACTGTATGTTATACTTTGAAGTCGTTCCTACATTTTTTCTTCTTAATTTTTAGTAGTTTTGAGAAAAAACAAGAAATATATGCTTTCCTTCTTGCACCATCTCTCTTCACTCCCACGACGTTGGAACAGTAGTTTTCGGACCCAACTCCCACGATTCACAAAACTTGCTGTTTTGGGAGTTGATTTTGAAACTACAGTGAAGGTAGTACCTTTTTAATTTTATATTGCTTTAAACCTATTCAATTTGTGAAGATTTTGTAACTTATACTATTTTAATAAACTTACATTAGCCAACTACATGAATAGTCTAATTGCTTTTGATGATATTTGTTTCCAAACCATTGGCGATCTACTTTTTAGTTGTCCAAGTGAACTGTACCCATGAAGTACGACGTATGCAGATAACGGACCAATTCACAGTGTAAGAACTGTGCCTCTGGAGAGAACGTGAGTAATTTATGCTACGCTGTGTTCTAAAGACGTTCACAAAATCACGAAGAAGAAGAGTACCTAAAGTGTCAATCTAGGCTGCAACGTTTCAAGAGAATACTTCATATCAAAGAAATAAAGTGATTACGACAAACTATTTCAGTAACAACTACTTTTCTTTGTAACTTAAAAATAGCAGCGCCGAAATGTAAAAGTTTAACGTATGTTAAAAACACAACAGCAAAATATATTTTTTCTCAAAATGTGTCATTTATATTATTGTTATTTTGCTGCGCAAACATGCGCCCAAAGCATACTTTTAAAAACAAATTATAATTACAAGTAAATTTTGTAAAGAAACAAATCTCCGATTTCAACTTTTCGAAAAGTTATTTTTATCACATTATTTGCTTTTTTATTCAATATATTCACAATATTATTTAAATAACAAGAGGAAGTAGATATTCCTTAAAAGAACATGATATTGTCGTCAAAAACTAGTTAAGACATGACAGAGAGGCAAAACAACTAATTCCCATGTCTCCTATTATGTTTGTTCACTTCAGTGCCCTTGCAGTAGTGTTTTAGTTTACTATATTTCATCATTGATGACTGGCCATTTCCTACCATAGACGGAAAACGTGGAGAACAACCACATTGGGCATCGCTGCCGTCATGAAAGATTGTTTCGCTTTGATCTCTCTTCGTGAATATAAATAGTATTCTTTTGAGAGAAGACATTTCAGGAAATAAATAAAAAAACGCAGTAAATGCAGAAAACACTTGTCCGTAGAACAATAGGGACGGACTAAAAGTAAGAAATTCGAAGTACAGACAAGAACGAAGAAACAATGTATTCAAAAATTGAGCCATAAAATAAAAATGTCCCACTTTTTTATTCTTCTAGAGACCTTAAAAACTTGCGCAGATGAGTGTTCAGAAGTATACAAAAGAATGAGAATGAAACATTCTAGAACATAAATAAACTATTGGGAGTTTTTGGCTCAATAAATACGTTTAATTGTTAAGTAGTTTAATTGTAAAATGCAACTATTGAGTGTTTATTGTTAATTAAATGTGTTTATTTATTTTTTACAATTAACAGAGATCGTCAGAGTGGCAGGAATTCGACGAATCGTTTAGTTCTTTAAAATTAGAACTCCTCTATAGGAGAGGATCTCAGAGTATTTACTGACAAAATCTCACGTCCTTTATTTTCAAAATGGAATTATTTTTCAGATTTTGTTATCCAATATCACAATGAACATATATTTTGTTTTCTCTTTAAGCCAAGATACAATTTTGACTAGAGGTTAAGTATATGCATATATATATATATATAAGTATATGCAGAAGTAAATTTTAAAAATATTTAATACTTCGACGTGTAGAGGTATGTAATAGAAAACCCCGTATCGGTTCCTCAACCATAAACGAATATTTCTTTAAGTAATTATTTTATATATGTTTTTAAAGGAGTATCCTGATCATTTCATGAACAATGTGCAAAAAGAGGGGAAAATGGTAAAAAGAAAAAAAACGGCAAAAATCATTTACGAGCAGAGATTCTCATACTCCTCAGCTTGAACATCTTAGTAGCCCTCTAATACGTAGGATATTCCCCTTCGTGATTGTCCCCTCGTATTCGTGATCTAAGAGTGTAAAAGCAACGATGAAGTTTTCCTACATTATGCGCGCGATGAGCTGAGCAAGTGGGCTGGACGTTCGCAGGTCCCGGCAGCTCTGGCTGCGTCTTCACACTCGTCCCTCGGAGCAGATATAAAGCGGAGAAAGCGCAGGAGCCGCGCATTCCGGAGATTTACGGCGTGGATTTATGGAGTCAGCTTTCTCACTAACGAGACGGGCGAAATTCGTTTATCACAGAGACGAAGAAATTTCATCTTCTGCGGAACCGCTCACTGTAAGACTTCACAGTTTTGGTAGGAATTCTACCTCGCTGCCCTATTATTTTCAATCACATTAAAATAAATAACAGCCATTTTTATTGTTATCGGTGGCAACTCGTATCAAGTGAAAAAATATGCAAATGAATCATTCGAACTTTCCAGTGAAATTTTGAGATCAATCGCTGGTTTCATTTTGGCTTAATATTCAATTCTGTCATAAATATATGTTTTAAATCCTTCTTTTGACAATTAAATTGAATTTATTTAAAATTTAAATTTGTCTTGTGTTTGGTTGTTTCTGAAATCATTCGTATACGTACTCCAAAATATATTTACACACATTGCTCACACTTTCTACTTATTTGAATGCAAAACGGACACACGTGATTGATTATATAGTGATTCCGAGCGCGTCAACGGCTAAGGTTATCAGGCCCGTACGTCATCAGTCCCGTACGTCATCAGTCCCATACGTCATCAGTCCCGTGAGTCATCAGTCCCGTAAGTCATCACTCCCGTAAGGCATCAGTCCCGTAAGTCATCAGTCCCGTAAGTCATCAGTCCCGTAAGACATCAGTCCCGTAAGACATCAGCCCCGTAAGACATCAGCCCCGTAAGTCATCAGCCCCGTAAGGCATCAGTCCCGTAAGTCATCAGTCCCGTTAGACATCCGTTTCGTAAGACATCCGTCCCATAAGTCATCAATCCCTTAGTGCATGTTTTTATTGCGGGAGGTGACGGTGATATACTCCTGCTAGCTTGCGATAGCTGACCTACGTCGCTTTGTGAGATTTTTCTTCAGACAGGTATCTCTCACCAGCGGGGCCCCGCCCCAGCCGGGACAAGTTCTAAGCTTCCGCCTGGTCTCCCGACAAGTGTGATACTGTAGAGCATGTGAATGTAAGTGTACGTAAGGAAGAAATGAGGATAGGGCAAGGAAGGGGTAGGAATGATCGCACTCTGCCTACTGCTCCGGCATTCGCTTGGTGTTAATCAGAGAAACCATTGAAAACTACAAACCAAAGCTCAACTAAATTCGACCTAGCTGAGCAGAGAGTGTAGAAATCCCGACGGTGCACTGTCTGGGAGTCGAGCTCTGGTACCTCCCGGTCAGAGGCGCTGCATCGACATCAGCGTACGCCCTGAGCTACCTTTGCCGGTTCAAAATGGACAGGTCATAGTCATTTTTATTGTGGATGTACGATACGTATGTACAATACAGATTCTCTAGCGATTTAGTAGTTATAATGGGGGAAAAGAACTGAAATAACAAGGCAGACGTGTGTTTTTTATAATAGAAAAAATATTTGTATATTTTAATTATAAATATTTTCTTCAGTAAATATTTAAAATCTGGCATTAAAACACATAAATATACACACAAACAATACCATTAAATTTTAAAAACTCAAACAGGATGCCATGTAATGCCATCTTGCCATATAATTTACAGTGTAAATTATTTACGAGAATTATTATTACGCGAACCTTCGCATTTCATGATCCGCTTAACATTTACTAATCATCTTTGCACTAAATTCTAGAATCGATTGATACTATACTTAAAACTTATCATTTTACTTGGCCTTTGTGCAAAAATTATGTAGCAGTTTACTTTCCTTCAGCAGGTAGCATTCGAATCTGGGAGTTGAGAAAACACGATTCATCATTTTGGCACAAACTCATAAAATGTTAATAAATTCAGTAAATACATATTTCCTGCACCTCAATATCTTAGCAAATACTATTACTATGTATACTAAAAACTTTCAATAACTTTTCTACTAAAATTGTAAAAATTCTGAGCCCATGTTACAGGCGGCAAATCTCCCATCGTTATCCTTCCTCCTACGAAACATTACATTTTTCTCCATTATTTACCTTTTTGGACTTTCTGATTAGACTATCTCAATTTCCAATGTCCCTAATGATATGGCAAGACGCGAAACATTACGATAAATGCATATTTTCTAGCCTCTGCTGTGACGTAAAATCGTTTTTATCACATGCATCTTTCGAATCATTATTCCCATTGACTAGCTGTACAAAACAAGATAAGTTATATTATTTTTATTAAAATAATATTCTTTGTCCTAATTAAATAGGCTTCTTTCTTTTTAATCACCTTGTTGAAAATACTGTTCTCGCTTTTGTATTATTTACAGCAAGGATTTATATTTACATCGTGGTGCACATTTCATGAAAATAATACCCTTGAGATATGGTACATTTTTGGCGTTTTGGGGAAAATGTGAAGATGCTTTTTAGAAAATATTATTAATTGCCTTAACTTCAAGGAAAATTTTCGCAAAAACTACTCGTATTTTCAAAAATTGTACTTGGCCTTATTTAAAAATCTGGTATTTCAGATCAATTCTCAATGAGAAAAAATCTATCATCAATAGTATAGTTTTTCAATGATTTTTGTTGCATTTTAAATTGTTTATACGAGTATTTCACCCGAAACTCTTCAAAAACCACTCAAATTTTAGAAGCGTAACAGATGACCTAAGATCTGTCTGTAAAAAATATTTCATTTACAAAAAAATCTCTATTATTGCAATTTTGCAATGTTAATATTTTGCAATTTTCAAAATTACATAGAATACGCAAAAAAATATTTTTTTGAAAATTCAGAGGTATCAGCGGAAATTAGACGTGCGTCATTTGTAACACGCTAATCAAAGACAATTTTGAATAAAAAAAATTGGAGCTATTTTGTTGAAAATGTTGAAAATGTCTAACCTATATAAAGTACCCTAAAAATCAAAGTATCCGTTTGAAAAGCACACGGCTTACAGTTAGTTCTTATCGTCCAGCGGAACCGGACCCAAGAAAGCGCCCGCACCAGGAAGGGCGAGCGGAGAGAAGGAGCAGGCGTGCGAAACAAGCGAAATGAGAGAGAGGTGAATGAATCCGAGCGAATGAATAGGCCCAGCAGAAGGATCAAAAGAGTCGCAATGAGCTGGTGGATAGATAGTGCGTACGGAGGGACACGCGTGAAATGTGCGGAACGGGCGAGGCCGCTTAATAAATAAATACTCAGGCAACGCCGCGTAATGAGCTCGTTTACTGTTATTTCTAAAATGTTGGTTTACTTATATAAATCGTGCGCGGAATTATAAAGAACACATATCGAAAATTGCTAATTACATGTTCAAATGAGTTTGTGACATTTATATTTCTCGATAAATACATCTTCTACTTTCGAATTCCAAAAATTTTCCATTTAAAAAGTGAAATGTAGGCATTCTTTTTATTATTCGCATATTCTGACGATTTTTTTCCAACTGACAAAGTATATATTCCTTCAACTGAATGTTCTGTAGTATTGTTTTAATATTTATTTCATTCTAGAAAAAACTTCAAGATATTTATTTTTAGTTCATTGAAATATTCTGTGAATTACTTCATAAGCATGTCAGTCAGAATCAAAGTTAGTTAAAAAGATTTACAGAATATTCAACGATGGTCGTGCTTGGGTTTCTTACCTCAAGAAATTTTAAAGCGTCTCCGAAGAGATCCAGTCTTGGGCCGTCACAGAACAAGAGAACTTCCAAAAATTCAAAAGTACAATGACCAAAGCGTGACTTGTCAGCGAGACTAGATCCAGAGCGTCACGACAATGTCTCGACGATGTCTCGACAATGACTTTGTAATAATTTGCTGCACTTCCACTGTTGAAACAGATGCACTGTAGCCTGCACTTGCTGCACGTGCAGATGACGAAATTGTTTCTTCCAATTTACTCTAGAATCACAAGAAACGTTTGTTTATTAAAAGATATTGCTATTAAATACTTATGAAGGGCTTGTGGGTAGTAACAAAGTAATTTATTCCAAACAGTATGCTTTCTGCAATTAGAAAAGTCTATATTTTGGTCGAAATTTTTCTTTTCATAAACCATTCATTTGAAGAAGATACAGGGGTAGTAAAAAAGGTAAGTCATACATTCACCAAAATCGATATAACATTTACAAATACTGGGAGGCTTTCTGTCCCTGCCATGCAGTATCTTGACACTGTCTCAAGCCCTTCATAACTTTTACAATATGATCTAAAGACCATCATATGATATTATTCAATAACTACCCATTTCTATTTATCTAATTGATGAACAAAGAGTGACATCAACAATTTACTTTGCTCCTTTTGAACATTCTAAATAGAGTATGGGCAGAATTTTAGTAAGTTTCTGGGTATACTTGCGTATCTATATTCCGTACATAAAATTTCAAATTCTATATCCGAAAGGGACTTACAATGTTTGGATCCGGCAAAATGACAGAAACTGTTCGACTACTAAATTTGCTGTATTTCTTGGTTACAACATTAAGTCAAGCTAATCGTAATACGGTGACAGAATCCAATCAACAGATCACATGTCAATTATTGTTGTCATGCTTGGAGCTAGGCCTCCCATAAAATACCAATAATACCACTAATACGAATATTAACAATTATACATTGCAGCAGAGGCACAAAAACTACAATATCAATCAAACAGGATAGTAAAATACTTGAGTTTATTTAAAAATATTATACTGTCATTTTCTGACCGCAAACTACTACTATACTTCTTAAACATCAGTTCACTAAGATGTGTTACCGATGAAGTCATCAAAATAATAAATATTGTTGTCATAATAATACTTATTATGACTACAATTGATATTTATGACTATAATACTTATTGTGACTATTACTGTTATAATTACTTTTTTTACAATAGCAATAAAAATAACTTATTATTTTCCCACAGTTAACGACTGAAGGTGTTGGTTGTCGGTTAAATATAAAATTTACTCTAAGTTGCTTATTAAGGAGAATATCTAATGACGATAGGTGCCTCTACAATACTTATCACAAATGGCTATTCCAAATAATGCGACCGCCTTAGGAACTCAAGACATTAATATAGTTGTATGTCACTGCAGGGCCTCTGACCACGAGGTCCTAGGGTTTGAGTCCCGACGATGGCAGAATTTTCCACACTAGATGAATAATTATTTCGAATTCAGACGCTGTCTGGAGGCGAATTCTAGCGGCCGTTGCTCTAATCAGTAATTTTCCGTGGTTTCTCCGATTAACACCAGCTGAATGCAGGAGCAGTACCCAAACACCCGGGCCACGGTCCGCGCGCAATCTTTCCTTCCTCTTCCTCACACACACGCACTTCACTATCACACGTGTTGGAATACCTGCCGAGTGTTAAGAGCTTGTGCTCCGCTAGAGAAAGATACCTCCGTACATGGAAAAAGCCCCGAAAGCTGACGTGTAGGTTGTCACCGGACCTCGTTATCCAGCTGGGAAAAATACCGCCTCCTCCCGTAATAAAAACATGCAGTGCACTTATAGATCCAATGATCATAACAGGTGACGCGCCTGGAAATATGAAATAATAAATCAATCAAACCAATATGCGATTCTCCGACCCCAGTCTTTTTCAATTATTCGGAAATTTGGGCACGAAATGACATACATTTTGCAAAATAAATTTCTGAGCTAAGAAATTTACCGGTGTGACGGGTGCTTTTACGCCTCAAATCTGACTAATCTCGATTTCCAAACTTTTGTATGTAAGGCTTTTCTCTGCTTTCTTGGTTACGGCGTTTAGATCGTATGACCCAGCAACTTCTACAAGCAGGCACTGTTTTTCTTCCAAATTTTGAAAGACAATATCCTGTTAATTTGATACTATCTCTCGATCAGTATGGATTTAGCAGTATTTTTGTATTGTACACAGTCTAACAGAAGTCACAGATTTGGTGAGTGTTCATATCACTCGGAAATTGAGTTTGAAAATTCGATGCCTTTACAAATCAACCAGTGGTGATTACAATATATGACGCCTTTTCAGGTATTTATACTTCGCTATAAAGGACAATAATAACTGGACTACATGACAGCTGAGTGAATATAATCAATTGTTTGTACTTATTTCTGAGAAATGTATGAGGCATGTATCTTCCTATAAAATTAGGAGAACCGCTTTACAATCATGCTGATGAATGTTGATCTTAGGCTTATTTTACCACTTTTTTCGATTCTGGCGTCATTCATTTGTGTCATTAATAATTTATCTTTTTAGTTCATTATTTCGTCCATTCTATTTAGGTACTGTCCACGAAGTTGTTTTTGCCGCCATAATATCTTTTAATTACTGTAATTTTTCATGAATTTATGTAATACTATCATTAATAGTAATGCATTTGATTTTTTATAATTAATATTAATTATTATATAACGACAGACAAATTACACTTCTTCGTGCGAGCACATCGCATTCATACAGCTTATCTATTGAATTGAGCACGATTGATGGGAAATGCAATAAATTTTCGGCAATTTTGTTCTCAAGAGACTTGGAGGCAATTGCCTATCAGACATATTGAATTAATTCCGCGCCAAGGGCCGTGATGGAGTGAGGACGAGAAGAGCGCTCCATAAGAGGACGCCTGAGAAATGACACGAGACGTGAACTGAGTGTCTAATGGCGCTGAGAACTTTAAAGTGCCTTTCTGATGCATAACACTTACAAAGGGTAAGGGAAATGTAGAATACCTCACTGTGGATATATTTAAATAGGAATTATTATTATTATTATTATTATTATTATTATTATTATTATTATTATTATTATTATTATTATCAATACGCATATTTTGTCTCATGAGAACATAATTCAAGTAACGTTGTCTCAGTCATGTGTAGAGCCAGGATGTTTGGCAAAATGCCTTTTTACTTTCCCGCCTTACTTTGTAAGAAAATAAAGTATTGTAATCGTGCGCAGGAAAACAGCTATATTTTATTGCGGAAAAGCTTTTATTGCCGCGCCCTGGTAACGAAAACTGGATAAATCTTGTTCCTACATGTAGCAAATTACTTCCTTCAACACATAGTGTAATCAGAATGCACAATTTGTGTGATCTTCACATCGAATATCGATTGATGCCAAACGTCTGCCTGTCCGTCTTTGTGTGGTCAACGCCTAATACTTTCAGATCATTTTCTTCAAAATTGATTCTCTTCCAACGATCTAAACGAACTCGAGGCCCTCGGAGTTTTCAACAGATTTTCGAATTTTTGAGGGTACTTTATCTGATGCCTCAATTCCTTTTTTAAAATGTTATCAAAAATTGCTCCATTGAACTTTGTTGACTCCATATTGAACTTTGTCCTCAGAGAGCCTTAAGAACACTTGAAATAATAGCGCAAGTATTTTTGTTCAAATGCCCAATTTTTCGTAAATTGCAAAAGATAGCATTTGCTCGTCATCGTCCTGCAAAATATGGAAGATAAATATTTTACCCTTACTAAAATTTGTTCTTCAAAATTAGTTTTCAATAAAGTCAATTATAATGTTTCGAAAATGTGAATTTTCGTGCAACTTTGAGGCACAATTTTTTCTTTACATTTTCTTGTGGTATTTTTCAAATAACGGTGAAAATGTTGTGGTAGTTCCCTTTCGGGGAAACTCTCTGTATTTCCAGAAATTGCAAAACGTTAACATCGTAAAACTACAATATTGAAAAGATGTTTATATTGAATGAAATCTGTCGTAAATATGTTTGTAATGTTTACTTGAAGTTAACGAAATTTATAAAATAAACGTTTTCTCAAAAAACCGCAGGAAATTTTGTTTACGTCACGCAGTTATTTTTATTTGTTCTACGGATATAACTAGGAACGTTTCGAAGACTGGTACAAGTCGCATTTTCTTTGAACTGACTGAATTTTCGAAATTTACAAAAGTAAGAAATAATGCGAGAAAGTATGTGCTGTAGGAGCACCACAACTTATTACTGTTACCTTATGAAGATTTTTGAGTAAAGTAATCATCAACTGTACTTTTGAAGTTGTTTTAGAAGATTTTCATTTTGTCTATTTTAGCTTCTGATGCCCATTTTTATTTTAATTTTTTTATTTGGGCTCTTTTTTTCCAATAACATCCTTCTTTTCCTTTTCCATCGATCTCAATTAAAGTGGAAACATTTAAAAATCTCTTCAACTTCGAGTAATTGTAGCGTTTTGTCTTGCTCTGCACACGACATTAGGTAAAAAGTGTTAAACTAGGGATCCAGCGGATAATACCAATCAGGGGTTTTGTATTTCTTTCATTGATGACGACAGACTGTGTTCACTCAAGAGGAATCCCATCCCTTGTCCCTTACACAGTGAATTGTAGTGTAGTGTAGTGTAGTGAAGTGCAGAGTAGTGTAGCGAAGTGTTAGATAAATTAGGAATCAATTTAGAGATAACTAGAAATTAATTAGAAGTAGAATATCAACCTCTAATTCTTATTGTAATTCTAATTGTAATTGTTTGTAATAGTTTTGTAATTGTTGTAATTCTAATTGTAATAATATTTGCCACTGAGCATTAGCTCAGAGCAAATTTTAATAAATCTATCTATCATCCGACTTTTGACATGACCCCAGATGCTTTTCGAGGTCAAAGCTCTCTGTACCTTACATACGACACAAGTGCTGGCATCTTTCGCAGTGCTGGCATTGCACAAGTTCAGAGATTTCCAATAGAGTATAATTTCCACCATAGAAATAGAAAAAAATCTGATATATTATGCAAAATAAAATATGGTGGTCATGTGGAATCACAGAGGGGTAACACTACAATACTTTCATGTGACTTCTCCCTCTAGAAATCAGTGATTGCGTTCAAATCTGGCTTTGCCTCGTTGATAGTATCACAAGACTGACTATAGTGAAATAGACTGGCTCAGTCCGTACAACGATAAAAAAAATTGTTTCCTTCCATCCCTAACTGCTGTTGTAAATTTTAATTAGAACACAAATTTAAATCATTTTTATTGCCTACAACGAATTTTGAATAGTATAATAATTTCTTGTAAATGGTAATTGCTTCAATGGCTTTTTGAACCTCTATTTCAACCAATATAAATGTTTTTTTCATTCCTATCTCAGTAAGAGTATGCCATTTTGCCAGCCTCTTTTAGGAAAATTAAATGTCTAAACTTCTGTGTTCTAGGGATGAGACAAATAAAAGGAGAAAGAAAGAAAGGTTTTGAACACTTGAAATGAAACTTGTGTCAATAAAGAATAAAACATTGTTGGGATGGTTCTGTTTGAAACACTTTCGATTTATTGTTACTATTTCATGCAAAAGTTCGCTTCCATGCTTTCGCAGTAAAGAACGCTTTCATTGTTCGAGTCAGGTTCACTAAATGTTGGATGGAGCGTTCAACGGGGTTTTCCATTGACAGCGGTCGTCGACCGGCGCAGGCAACGCAATACGAGCCAAGAGGCGACGCCGCAAGGACGCTCGAGCGGCTGGCTCCGACCAGAATTGTCTCGCTTAGAGGAATTCCAGTGTCTCGGAGGGTGACCCGATATAGGCGCAGCCGCACAGTGTCACCCACTGCTTTCGGTTTTGACGGATCAAAAATTCTACACTGCCTTCTACGCGGTTTTAAGACATCGTAGTCCACGGGTGACACCACGCGTGTCTGTAGCTCAAGTCATATTGTTTCCTTCCTGTTGTGGACGTATTACTCAAAAATTCAGCTATTAAATAGGCAGGAAGTGATGGATTTGGCTAAAGAGAAACACATTTTTTTCATACAATCATATTTCCTTAAGTAATCAATAAATGTTTTGCAACAATATTTTTTCTAACAATATCTGAACTCCAAAGTCATAAATATATCCCATACGAAAAATGTAACGCAATTAAAATAATTTATTTAATAGTTTAGAACTTTAATTTAAATGCAGCGATAGACGCTAAATTAAGGGAAAAATAATAGATTCTCCAAATAAAAAATAATAAATCATACCACAAAACGGCATCATACTAACTCTAGTCCACTCTCTTCTAGCAATCAGTATTTTCCTAGACGAGATGCTAATCAAAACGAATCCGAAATGCTCTAAAATGGAACAGACTAACCAATCTGTTTATAAATATATATTTATAAATATATATTTTGTATTTTATTTGAAAATATAATACAAAACAGTAAACGGTTTTACTACACTCTTCATATTTAGTAAAGAGCTTTTAAGCGCCGTTTGTAAGAGTGATGGGCTGTTGTTTCCCCATTTTAAACCTCGGCGAAAAATGTATCGCCTATTTATTTTCATTGTAACTTAATCCCGTATATCTCTCTTAATTTTCATTTCTTAGTTCCTCACTTAAAATTCCGGTCCACCTAATACGTGAAACATTTATATTTTTGAAAAATTTCAGCGAAGGAAACGAGCGGCATCGGATATGAAAATCAACATGCAATGAGACTGGTTTTCTTGGCTCCTCCAGTTCGTACAGCCTCCCATTCCACCATTACTCTCTCATCATTCACATCTTTTAAAGATTACTATCACCTCCACGAGAAATCATTCTACCATTTTAAAGATTAATAGCATAGTTAATAAGATCTAATAAATATAATACACTACTCCGAAACACGGGTCATCAAAATATTCGAAAAAAAATTGCCAAACTAAAATTTAAATACCTTCCACGTTTTTTCAAACAAAATAGATTATTATTATTATTATTATTAGTTCCTAAAACATGTAAGTATCTTTTAACATCCTTAGTTAAAATCATCTCTACACTCCTGGCTCACTTGAAAACAATATAGTTAATTAAAAAACATCAATGTCAAAGCATGCTGTTTCACTACATGATAAATCCGTGAACATCCTTTGAAAGTATGGATAATATTTCCTTCAAAAAGAAAAAAAATATCGAAATTAGATGATTTTTTTCCAAACGACATGACATTTTTCAAAAAGTTCTTTTTTACCTGCTTTCGTATACTATTTTTCACTCGGTTTGGGGTATTGTAGCCACGACTCAGTATGAGAGCTTATATTGGGAATCATTAAACCAGTTTCGATGTAAGGTGTAATCATTTACATACGACACAATGTTTCAATTTTTAGGTGGCATGTTTTTTTCGTTGGAGAAGTGTTTTATGCAAACATAAAATAGGGAAAACTGAATTTTCTCTTACTCGAATAATTTCCGCATGCTCTGCCAGCAATGCCCGCTCTTGCACTCTCTCCATGTGTGCGTGATTGTTTTACAATAGTATAACAATAATGGAGGGGGGATGAGCAACTTGCCTCAGAGTAGTTTTTTGATTCTGTTAGTTTATTAATTTGTTTGTTTCTGTTTTTATTAGTTCCTGTTTGATTGCTTAGAGTTTTGATTATAGAACTGTTTTGAACCCTCCTCTCATTGTTGTTCTCCAGGAACCACAACAGCATTGGCACGAGTCCTCCTCGTTTGGGCCGTGTAGACGCGCGGTCGCCCCCGTGCCCTGCGGCTGGGCGCGGCCGCCGGTGGGTCGACGCCCCCTCCGAGGGGGGCAGGGGGCAGGGTGCCCGCCCGCAGGGCCCAGAATAACGTCTCGGCGCCGCCTGCGCGGCTTTAGGAGAACCCATTACTTCGTACATTACGTTTCCGCGCAGCACTGCATGACAACCGCAACGCGCCATCAAAGCTTCTTCTAAGAACGCCACTTCAAACAGGCCGGACTCCGCGTCACAAAGCATGTCAGCGCATCGTGTTTTCTATCAAAATAATCGAAATGTAGGACATGTTGCATGACCGGGAATTTGGGTAGCAAGACCGACTCTGAAGTTGGTTTACAGACTGCCAAATATTAAGACAGATGGTTGAGTTCTTGAAATATCACGTAAGTGTTGCAACATATTGAACTTGTTCAGACGGAGAAGTGGAGGTGATTTATTAAATTAAGTATAAAACGTAAGATTTACTCCACATAATACTAAAAAAGAACGTAAGATTTACTCCACATAATACTAAAAAAGAAAAACTATCGCTCCGCTGTAACATTGAGTATTACCTAGGCATTCTTTTTAAAGCAAAGTGTACGATAGTGGTATCTGTCAGACCTAGAAAAAATTCACCCAATACTTTAGCCATCTACGAGTAGATTTGATGATACAAGAAAACTTCATTACATCTTTTGTAGAATATGTGCTGTGTTGCATAACTATTTTGACAGATTTAACCTTTAATGGAATTCCTGAGGTGAGAAAATTGTGTTTGTAATTTGGAAAGTTAAGACTCCAAGAAATAAAATTATGTTCTTAAGCTGCATCTCTTTGACAGTTGCTTAGTATATCAGTTAACTTTACTTACTTCCACCTTACTAATGTTTTGATTTCCAATTAGCACAATATTGGGATCTGGAGTCGCAGGATAGTGATTAGCAGATTAAAAGGGAGTCAGTTGTTGGTACTTCAAACAGCCATCCACTAATATGTTACATCCAGCTGTAACTAATCTAATCAAACGTCCTGAGAAAGAAACACATCTTTTGAATTTTCCTTCAGATAGGGCCTTCTTTCAATTCAATTATTAAGCAGATGTTTTCATAAAACTAGAGTGTTCTTGAGCTTCAAGAAAACAAAATAAAAGTCCAATATATCATATAAAGGAATTTTATTAATGAGATAACCCTCTGTAGTATTTATAATTCAAAGACAGTGATTCTCTATTCCTTACAAGAATTGATTTGACAATTGAATGAGAGAGGCCAATTGTCACTTTCTTTGCAAGGTGATACAATCAGAACCCATTCTAACTATAAAAATTTGGTATTTTAAAACATTAATATTAATGAAAATTATGCGTCGCGAAAATGAACGTATATCACATATTCTCATGTGTTTGTCATCAAAACGAACTGCACTATATAGGTGAATTTGATAACATTATTTCCGCCAATTTTCTTTTTATTCATTACCATCTTCATAATATTTAATATTCTTTAAAGAACCTGGATGAAGAGGCGCTTAGATTCTGCCTCACATGACGTTTTCTGGACGTATTCTGGCGAGATATTAAGTACCCATCTCTTCATCATGTTCAGTGCCTTAATAGCAGCTTGCCAAGCGCACATGTTCCAACAGCTGTAGCAGTTTGTTTTGAGGCAACTGAAGGTAACACTCACCTGGAGTGTGTCCTCCAAAAAGTTCTTTTAGCCTGAATTCCTCCATCCGTAAATAACCATTCGGTTTTTGAAATGTATTTCACCTTGACGGTCTTACCGCCGATATGAAAGAAACATACACAAGACATTATTGGTTCATTAGGTAAGAAAAACGTTTTGCTTGGGTTGATACACTTTGATATTTTAGGAATTGCTCACCTTAATTGTAAATAAAAATTACACTACACATACTCATTGTTAAACAATCAAAAAACTGTGGCAAAATAGTATGATCTCTCCTTAAGTTGTATAATTATGCTATTTAATTAAACTGTCAATAAGAATAAAACATTTCATTTATATTACAAAACGAAACCTATCAGTAAGCCCATTTTCTTGTACACGACGAAAAATAAGCTCCATTGAAATTCCAGGTAGAACAAACCTTCAACTTAGTATCTCTTGAAGATATTATCATAGTTCAAGTAGAGGGTTAGCAAACAATTTCTCGAAGTTTTCTTGAAATATCCACTGTATGTTTAAAACAAAGTTGATAAATCTT